ATTTTCTCACATTTTGTTTAGAATTTTTACATAAATTTTCATATAGCAATTTTTGTTTACTTTACTTTGAAAATCTATTTCCTCTTTAAATAAAATATTAAAACCAAAAGTTACTTTATTATAAATGAAAATGAATTTATTTCTACAAAATAAAAGAGAAATTTTCTTGCAATAAAATTTTTAATTTTAATGTACACATTTTTATACAATGTATACGTGAATTTATAAAAATTTCATTGAGGTATAAGGTTAAGTAAATAATACTTGACTTTATTAAATATGATTGATTGGTTATATAATATGTTCGAATTATGTATAAACTTACAGCGAGGTAAAACTGACCTATCAAAATAATATAGAAATGGAAATAACATTGAAATTATTCATTAATATAATTATTCATTTTCAGAAATATTTGAATATTTCAATGTAACTAATAAAATATGATTGAAGTATTTATCATTCAAATATGGAAGAAATAGGTCTATATAACGTCTCATGTACACAAAAACCGAAAATAAATAAAAATTTTTAAAGAAAAATTATAATTTTAATTTTTAAGTTAATTGGTTTAGATTTGAATTTTTTGCATTTTGGGTAATGCAATTTAATTATCTCATCAAGAGGAAATATTGTTGATCAGCGAATCCATAAAGAATTCAAAGTATAGGGTTTTCGTTTATTCTGTTCTAGAATACTTCTAACATGTATAGTACGTTCGAAAATTCACGCTGCACATATAAAAAATATAGATCGTTCGGAAATTACTGGCTGCAATAAAGTGCATTTGGAAATTCAATCCGCAATAAGGAAATGTTAGAAATGTAGCGCAGACATCTAGTATAAATTTTGTCGCTGCCTCAAGAAATTTTTTTTTCTTTTTTAATTTAAAATTCAAAAAAAAATATCAAATTTCAAAATGGCAGATTCAGATATTGAAGGGTGTTAAAGTAAGTTTTCTTTAAGTCTTCAAATCTTGTTACTGTATTGGGATATAAATTTTCAAAGTATTGGGATATAATTTCATAAACAAAGTCATTTATGTTATTTTCGAGGTTTCAGAATTTGGAGACTGCGTAAACGAAAAAAGGTTAGCTAAATTTTTTGCATAATGTTTAACCATGCATCTTAGAAATTTTAGTTCTAATGTAGAACTTTCAGCGCAGCGTGCATAAGCGAAAACCCCCTATCTGCAATAACAAATACATTGCATATATAAACATCTTCAATATTTATGAAATTCATGGTTAGTTTTAATCCTAATTACTACTTCTCAATTTCGATTCACTTACTCCAACTTCCAAAGCTAATTATAAATACATATATATACAAAACATCGACTAGTTTCTAACATGATTTCGCTGATTATAATATTTTTAAATATTATTAAGTAGGTGTATTGAACATCAAAACGTGTGCAATGTTTTTTTATTTTTCATTTTAATTCAAATTTGATTTTTTGAACTTTTAAAGAAATACGTAAAAGTTTAGGCAATGAGAACATTCTATCCGCTGATGGAAGCTAAAAATTGCAAAGAGGCGTCTTATATATTATAATATAAAATTTCTTTAAAAAATTTTTTTTAGTTTCAATGTTATTAATGCCAATCTTATTTTACAAAAGATAAAAAAAATCATTAAACTTAGCAAATATTGAAACAAAACAAAAAAAACCATTTGTCATAAAATCTAAGATGAGGGTCATATTATATAAAAAGAAAATCTAAATATGAAAGATGAAGCAAATAAAATGTCCTTCATATTATTAAAAATTTGTACAATAAAATAAAATTTCTAAAAATTTTTAATTTATTTAAGCATGAAATATTTTTTTTTTTTATTTTTAAAAATCAACTTTTAATATAAACATTTAAAAATTTTGGAATCATCATCAAAAAGAATTAAAAACAAAAATATTTATTTAGAATCTTTCCTATTTCCTAACATATACATACATACACATATATATATATTTCTGTTACGGGAGTATTATAAATTTTGGAAGCTTACTAATTCCGGATATTTTCTTTTATAAAACATAAGTAAGTTCAGAATTTATTTATAGTTTTCTTTCCAAAATCTTTTCAACAATAAAAATTTTTTATATTTATACAACAAAGATCATTAAAATGATTGAAAATTTTAATTATTTTGAATTATTTTTTCAAATTTAGTACAATAAAATTCTAAATTACATCTAATGAAAAATAATTTTATGTTTCTAAATTATAGAAATTAAATAAAAAGTTCCTTTTTATTTCTTATGGCATTATTTTTGTTTATTAAGTAATTATTTTCCATTTACTGATTTTTTTTGCAAAAAATTTATTGGTCAATTAAATTTAATTTAAAAATTTTCATATGTACAACATTTTATAAATATTTTCAAAAATTTCAAATGAAAAAAGTAAGAAAATGTAGCAAAAGTATTTTGTTTTTTTTTTTTTGTATTTTTCTTATTTCTTATAATTTTAATTTAGAAATGAAATTTTATTTAATTTTCATATATGGATGTGCATATGTACATATAAATGTATGTATGTGCGAAAAGTAAATGTATATGTGTATTTGTTAATTTGATTTATTATCTTAATTTAAATTTAAATATTGTATTCAATTAAATAGCTTATTATTTTAAATAGTTTAGAAAAATAGAAAATTTATATTTAACTAAATCCATTGACTATATTAAAATTTATTGAAATATATTAAAATTAATAAAAAATTATTTCAAATTCAACAAACAAAGGGCATCTAGGAGAAATTAATTTATAAATATCAAATTAATTTATTTTTCAATAGAAAATTGGAAAATTTCTATGAATAGTTATAATTGCAATGAAATATTTATATTGAAAACTATATTGACAGTTTGTTTTAAGTATAATAATGTAATATGTAACGAGAAAAAATAGAATTGACTGTGTCGAAGTGCAGCTACCCGATCATTTCTACTGCGATCGTTCTGGTATTTACTATAATAAATCTCTTTTGAAAATTTGGTGAACTTAGCTCAATTAGTTTTTGAGCTATCGTTGAGAATGCTAAATCGACTCAGAATTCGACGCTGGCCTTCGAACATACATTTGTACGGGTATAAAAATAGTGTTAATGAAAATCAAGTAAAATTAAATAGGTATACGCGTATGCAAATTTATACAATAAAATTTTATTTTCGGATTAAACGATATTTTCTTTACTTTAAAACTGGCATGCTTATCTGGTATATGTTTAGCTGGTATTAAATATTTTTTGCGGCTGCCATAAATTTACGTAATAAAGACTATATGGCTCGAAATAAAATTTAATAATTTCATTAAAATTAATAATTTATTCACAGATTATTAAGGTGTATTAAGGTAAAATTACTTTTTGGAAAAATCAATTAGTAGAAAATTGTACTACACAATTTCAAGAACTCAATAATTTTTGTGTTTTTAAGAAAAATGCAAAAAAAAATATGCACAATGTGTTGAGAATATGACATAACAATTTGTTTTTCGATTTAAAGAAATTAAACAATATTGTGGAATTTTTAGAAATTTTTTCATTACAATTAACTGCCGATGTCTCGACTTTAGCCTTCTAAGGCCTTTTCTTCAGAATATGATGAAAATTACAAAAAAAAAATAATTGAATTGCTGTGGGTAGCTCTTTTCTATTTTACATTTTCGTATGTGGCTCTCTAAATGCATTTCTGCCTCAAAATCACCAAAAATTTGAAATTGAATGCAAAAAATTATTGGTATTTTCAATTAGTATTTTTACTAAAATTGTTGTAAATTTTGACTTTTTCCTAATAAACTATATGTATAATCAATTAAAAATGAACATGTGGTTTAAGATTTTAAATCAAAAAATTAAATTTTGTTTATAAATACGACAAAAATATTCAAAACAAAGAATAAATAAATTTATAAATTTATTCTTTTTTTTAAATTTTTGTTTTGTTCTTTTGTGGGTGCGAACGTCATACTAATAGAAGCAACAATTCAAATAACAAAAAAAAATTTATAAAAAATATAAAAATACATCAAATTTATTCTAAAAATATTTAAATTGTCACAAAATTAAATTTGTATTTTTGTAAACAAATTTAAATTTTATGTAGCTACATATATAAGTATATCTAAAAGCATATACAAACATACTTATATTTACATACGTTTAAAATACCTACATGTATACACATACATATCTAGGTATTATTATTTTAATCCGAGCCACATGTAGCTGATGTAATTGTTATATTTTTAATTGTTTATATTTAGACGAAAATAAAACAAATCAAAATTTGTAATAGCAAGATCGGTTCAAAAAAATCTAAAACGACATTTAAATTCGGGCAACATGACAAGAAATTCAAATTTTAAGTGGATATGAGCACAACAATTAAATACTTAATTAAAAGTTAACGAAAAATTGATGATTTATAGTTCCTGAAATAAACCGGCAGGCATAACGACTATGTGACATGACGCAAAAATACTCATTAAGTAATTGCAGTAATATTTTTTAAAATTAAAGTAGTTGACGAATAATAAAAATTTGGCAATAAGTACTTTACGAAATTAATTAATTGCATAACTATATTAACAAACTATTTTTTGAAATCTTTAATTTTAATTTAACATACAGACAATTCTAATTCAATTTTCAAAAGCTTCCCTTTTTAATGCAATTTGAAAAAAAAGCTGGTTGGTTTGGTCCTCGTAGAATACACACAAGAAGCGAAATTTTATCCGATATGATTTTCGAAAACTTTATAGTATTTATTTATTTGTTTGTTATAAATTTTTTGTTTGCTTATTAAAAACACTTTTGGATTTTATAACGTCCTAAAGGTACAAGAATGATCTTTAAGTAGTTAATAAATTTTGATCTTTAAGTTAGTACATATACCCATCCAAATACGAATGTTCATCTTCCATTATAAAATGCATAACTATATTGAACTTTTATTATTTTTAATGAATCATAACTTTACAGGGTGAGGAACGAGCTATTATTATATGCACAAAAGTCTTTTTATTCATAATAATGTACGTGTAAATCTATAGGTACGGAATATTGTTTTTTGAACTGATGAAAATTATATGCCAATAACATATTATGAACGATAAATAACTACTATTTTAAATTCATATTTCATATACACACATACATTATCTACAAATGTATGTAGCTACCAAATTCGTCGCAGAAAATTTCAGAATATTACAAATTTATTAAAGAAAAAAAGCTTAAGTACCTACCTGCAAAAATAAAAATAAATTTCCATCAGACATGGATATAGTGGAGAATATATTAACATATACGGTTGGTAATATATTATCAAGAAAATTTCAATTATGCCATGTGATTTTTCTTTTCTCCCAATCCAAATTCAATTCGCATAAAAACAATAGGACCTGTTATGTACATACTCATGTACGCAAACAAAAACCTACACTTATGCATAAACATTTCATCATTAATTTTTAATAGCATTTTTTCCCGTTTATATTTACAATAGCAAAAAGTACTTGAGTTTCTTTATTATTTTTTTTTTCTTTTTTTCTTTTTGCTTTAATGTAGAAAAAGTACTTTGAGTAAGTGTTGAATATTTGCGAGTGTAATGTATTTGGGAGAGTGTTGAATATAACAAATTTCCAAGAGAAAGAACTCACGATTTCATCCGATACCCTTTCAATAAATACATAATTTCATACATTTTTATTTTCACCATTTAATATTTATAACCTCTGTTAATTAATGTTAAATGTGAAAATTATACTATTCATATCATACTTTTTTCACAAGCAGCAAGAAAAGAGAGAAAAAAAAAGTTAGAAAAAAAACGCGTATTTGCAACTGCGCACAGCTACTTTGCATCAAAGTGTCAAGAAACTGTAATATGTACATATAAGCATGTATATATGTATATTTCTTGCTATAATGCGCATTACAGAAATATTAACCATCTAAAATTTTTATTGATTTCAAAATGACAAAGAAAATCGAAAAAATTCAACTAATTGTTTAACACATAAAATATTACCATCCCTGTTTGATACTTTTTTGACACATAAAATGTCAACATTGCTCAAAAGTAAAAAGAACAGAAAAAAAGTGATGTCATAAAAATTCTATCTGACTGTGACTGACATCATCATACTAAATTTGTGTAAATATTACGAAATATTAAAAAATTTTTGGAATTGAAGTTTTAAATTGAAAAATAATTTATAAAAAACTATTAAAGTAACAATATAAAGAGATTTTTTCGTTATTCAAATTTTATTTTTTGTTTTCTAATCTTTTTTTATTAAAGTGACTCATTGTATTGATTAAAAAATTTTTTTTGAAATTTTAAGAAAAAAAATAAAAAAATGTCGGCAAGTAATCAAATCCAAGGTTTACATTTAGCTCCTTTAAGGAGATTTGATGATTTTACAGCAAAATTTGAATTGCCTGCTTTTAATGATTTGGAAAAATGGGTAAATATCAATAAAAAATACTTATAAATTCTATGAATACATCCATGCATATATGTATAGTGCATATACATACATATGTGCATGTGTGATGTACAAATAGAAACATTTGATACTTGAATATCCTTATAATTCACTTTTTTTTTTCAATCTAGGGTAATCGTGTTGTAAAAAATTTAATGTATTATCAAACAAATTACTTTGCATTATTTATTGCCGTCTACATAATAATGTTGATAGCAAATCCAACTAAAATAATATGTGGTTTAATTGTAAAGGCAGCTATAATTGCGACAACAGTTTATTATTTTTCAATTGATGGTAGAACAACAAATGAAAACTCATACAAATGGGCGATATTAGCAGCACCATTATTTATTGGATATTTATTATTAACGTGGTTTGATGCGTTGCTATTGTCCGCATTTACATTACTTTTACCATTTTGTTGTAAGTAAAGTCTTTAAAATTTTTAGTAGGTACCGCATTATTATTACATACATGTTTATGATTTAACTCGTTAAAGTTGCAAGAATCTATACTTTATAGAGAAAATTGAACCGAATACATTGAACATTGCGGTTCTTTTAATGTTTAAATTTATTTTCTAATTTTCTAATTTTAGTAACGTTTGTGCACGCATCACTTCGATTACGAAACATTCGTAACAAGGTTGCTAATACTATGGAAAGTTTTGGACCAGCTACTCCTATGAGTGTATTCTTGAAAACAATTAATGTAACAGCTGATAAATTAAGTTTGGAATAAAAAGGTATACACAACAAGAATATTGGCACGAAAATCTTTAACATAATTTAAATTACAAAATCAAAGATCAGTCTTGAATATTAATATTAATATAAATATCTTAATATTTATTATAATGTTATTTCTTTGAATTCTGTTTAAGATGTGATAATATTTTAAAAGGCAAAATATACAATAATATTATATACTCAATAACAAAACTTGACTTTATTCCAATTAAAATGAAATATTACGTATATTAAATTATGTACATATACATTATTTATTACAATAAATAGTTTTGAATAGAAATTAAGATTAATATTAATTTCTTTTCGAAAATTTAGCTTAAGTATGATAATATACTGAAAACCAAAAAAAAAAACAAAAAATACAGCTTTACAGAATTAAGATAAAAAATTATTTAATTATTGTTTTAACATTTCTTTTGTGTTTTGTACATATATAATAATTTTTTTAAATGAAATAAATGAAATTTAACCATAAATATATGTATATGTAATTATTAAAATCGCTTCTTGTTATTTAATGCCAATTACTTAAAAATATGCATAAAGTACAAAATGAAAGGCAAATACCATATTTAGACAAAACCATTAAAACGCCGCAGCGGGATTGTGTAAAGTTTTATGAAATTTCTAATTTAAAATTCCGATTTTTAGAAATACGTCAAGAAGAACGATTTTAAACTATGCAGTTAAATATAAAGGACATAAAAACTAACTTGAGTATCGAAGTGCAATAATACAGCAATTAGATCGGGAATGATCGGGAGTTTTCTGTAATTAAATCCACTTCAACAGTAGTCACATTTCAGTAGGATTAGAATTTCTGCAACACTAAATTTTGGATTCCAGGAATTACAATACGTTAGAATAGAAAATTTTGAACAAGTACAAAAGAAATTCAATTTTATTTTTCTGGTCAATGTCAAAATAAATGCACTTTTTTTTATTATATTGTATAATTCGTATCTTATTCAAAATTTTTCTTTTTAAATCTTAATATTGTTTAAATCAAGAATAATTCAGATATAAATTATGTAGGTGTAAATGACAACGAAAAATAGAAAAAATAGAAAAGATTTTCCATTTTAATAAAAACACGTACCGAATTTTTATTTTTTTTTAACAAAACGAGAGAAAAAACGTAAATATCTAAAAATAATAAAAAGAATATCAAATCATTTTAAAATATATTTTTTAAAAGAAAAATCATAAATTCAATATATGAGAAAATTAAAATAGAAAATTTGAAAATTATGTGCGTGGTCCAGATAAAGTAAAAAAAATCACCAACTGACCTATTAAAATCAATGGATAAAATTAAAATTATGGATACTAGAGATTATTATCAAATGCTTTGTGTGTGCTCCTCTAAAAATGAAAAAAATGAGGCATTCAGAAAAAGCAATATTGCAATCTAATTATAGATTTTTATCAATATTTATTTTTAATTTTTTTAATAATAAATTTTCAACTAAATAAGGTCACAAGGCAAATACACAAAGAAATTCTCATTGTAACAATAACCATAAACTATAATAAAAAATTTAAATAATATTAAAGATACAGCCTGATATTACAAACGTACTGTTTTATTAAATTTATGTCATTCTTTTTTTATAAATATTTATAAATATTTTCTTGAGTTAATTTTTAATGAAATGCCTTCAAGGAGGCCATTTGCTAAAGGAATCTTTATTTTTGTTTGCGAATAATTTATGATATTTGCGAATAATTTTTATATATGTAAGCAATAATGTGAAATTTTCTTTATAAAAATTGAAATCTATTTGTTAAGATAACTACATAAATATGGTTTTTCAAATGATATTGAAAATTAAATATTTTAGCCTTGATCTATAACGATTTGAGTAGTAATACTGAATAACATTATGATCTTACGTATCTTTAATATAAAAATAATTTTACACAAAAGTTTCTTGAAATTACTTTATCTTGTCTGTAATGTACTTTCATTTTTAATTGTAGTTCAATTATTTGTGAAGTTGGTAAGGTGTTGATATTCTGTAAAAGTATATATACATATGTTATATTTTAATTTTGGTTAGAATATTTCTAATATTTGTGACTACTTCCCTAATTTACAGTAATTTGTTTAAATTTAATTGTGCAACTCGATTTAATGAAATCACCAAAAAAAAAAAACGAGAAAAAAACAAATTGGCTGCTTAATATGTTCTTTAAAAATATATTTAAAATTGTATCGTCTTAAATATTCCTAAATTTCACATTTAAATAAATATAAATGAATTTTAATTTAGCAGCACGGAGAAAAGTTAATACATGAAATATTTCACTTTATATATTGATTACTTTTCTCCATAAATGTTTTTGGCGATTTTACTGAATTGAGTAAATTAATTTTACTATATGATTAACGTATTGTATAATTTAAAAAGCAAGTTTAGCTACCTAATTAATTGCAAGTCTTGTATTTTACCGTTGTATGATTGGACTTTTTATTTATTGTGAATAATTAAGTTGAACTCTACAAGTAATGCGATATTATTGAACTTGAAATGTATATGAAAACTTATTTTAATGTGAAAATTAAGTAATCATTAAGACAGTCTTTAAAATTTATTTTCAAATTAAAACTACACCAAATGAGTAATTTACGATTTTATGAGCATAAAATGTAAGATAATTTAATTTTAAAAATCTCAAACTAATATATGACAAATAAAATTTATTTTTCCATTACGAAATGAAAAATTGGTTTGAAATTTGTAAATTTTATGCCCATTTATAATTCAAAACTATTAATCTAAAATTAATTCTTAAAAGATTTGAAAAAATTAAAATGCGTACAAATAAACAAATATGACTTTAAAACTGATTTTTAAGTACCAAAATTGCGAAAATGTGTATAACAATTATAAATATGATAGTAATAGACATGAAAGATAATTTCGTTTTCTATTATTTTCGATTTCTACACCAAGTTTACTTTCTACAACGAATTTATTATAAAACCAAAATTTACCAAATCCAAAAATCCATATTTGAAATTTTCGCGATATTCTCACCCATGGAAAAATCCATATGTATATAAATTTTTGTATGTCATTTATTTTCTAGTAAATTACTTCAAAAATAACAAAAATCATTGCACTAATTTTGAAAATAAAGTAAAATAGTTTTTTTTTTTTTGGCTTAGTATAATTATTTTACGCTTGACATTAATTTTTGAGATTTTTATAATAATTATTCGAGAAAATATTAAAAACAAATATCATTGCCAAAAACTAAATTGAAATTAAATTAGGAAAACATTTTTAGATTTTTAGTTTTTTTTCTAATTACAAATTAATTATTATTGGAAAAACATAATATCAGATAATTTTAACTAGAAATTAAAAATTCATAATTTAATGAACTAATTAATTTACAAACATGTTCATATCTTAAAAAATTTTTTGAAAATTTTTTTAAATATTTTCGTTTATTGCACATTTTTAAAGAGTAGGTACTTTTGTATTTTTCAAAATATAGATGAAAGCAAAAAAAAGTAGGTTTATACACGAAACATAACCAAGAGTTTATTTGAATTGATAATTAAGTATGATGTAGAACAGGAAGTATAATGTAAACATATTGTTACAATTTGATATTGGTTGAGAGGCTGAACAGTGTAGAATTAAATAATATTGAAAAATACGTATAGAAAACCAATAAATCAAATTTTTGGAAGTTTATCTAAATTTCTAATTTACTAATTAATTGGCATGTAGTTTGAATGTTTATATGAAACGCAAGAATTTATTATGAACTAAAAATTTTAAAATTTTGATGTTTATAGGAATTTATAAATGATAAGTTTTAAAGAACGTGTTGACAGGCAATAAATCAAGTAATGAAAAATATTCTAAAATGCATCTTAATAAAATGAAAAGCAAGGTGAATCAGATTTCCACTTCTGAAACTCTTATTCTACTAATAACTTTTGTCTAAGATTTCAAAGAATGATTACTAATATTGTACAAGTACTTCTTGTTTATAACTATATAATAGCTATGATAAACCAAAATATATCTTTCTATATATGTATCTATAATTCTATATTATTAACATAATTAAGTTTATAATTCTAATTAAAGTAAATATCCATTTTTCAAATGATTAAAATTAGACATAAATATTATTTTTACTATTTTGCGCAGCTTTAAATTAAAAAACCATCTCAAAATTTTATGAACGAATGCAGCTATTAAGCATTATAGTTATTTTATTAGTAAATATTCGTAATTTTTAAATATATATACATAACCAAACATAGATACATTTTTTTTATAATAATCTTGTTAAACAGTAGTTTCTCAGTGGCATTGGCATATAATATTTATTTGTTTTATTTAATTAATTATAATAAAAGAAAGAAAATAATCTTACCTTAAAATCAGATAAAGATGCCATAAGATCATCAAGTTCTTTAGTAGCTGATGATGCATAAACACGATGATGACCAGCTGGTGATGCATCTGTACTTATAGCTTCCCTTTGTTGAATAACTTCTTCATGTATTTCTACAAAAAAAAATTAGATTTTGATACAGAATGTATTAAAGATTGTTAATAAAAGAAATTCTTTACCTGGAGTACCAGAAGCAACTGGAGTTAATTTTTCTGTTTTAGTTTCACGAACAGTAATTGTGACATGTTTTCGTCCTGGAACACTTGGTAATGGTGACGTAGAACCACTAAAATTAAAAAAACAGAATTATAAATATGGGTAGGTAATTGATAGTTCTACATATGAGATAATAAATTAAATTTTAAAGAGACAAAATTATTATTTTTAGATTTATACGAACCGAAAGAAGCTACATATTGAAATATGTTAGAAGCAAGATTTAAAAAGTGAAAAAAGGAAGATTAATCAAGAAGTAAAACAAATAGATTTTATCAATAAATAGGAAAATGAAGAATTTTAAGAATAGAATCTTACCCATTTGGCACTGCATAAATTTGATTATTAGAAGCACTTGACAATTCTTCTAGAAGACTATCAACAGTAGGCCGTTTATTCGATTCAATTGTATTATAGGCTGATGATGTTGTTGAGCTAATAACATTCTTATTTGGATAATTCGAATGTATATGCTCTATAAAAAAAAAAGAAATTCAAATTTAAATTAGAATTTGAAAAATATTTTTATCTTATAACTGAATAATTACCATTTTTTTTCTCTAAATTAGCATTGTATCTAGCATTGCTCAAATCTTCTAATAAAGAATCCAATTCTGTTAAATTTGATGAATTTTGTGGTGTTGATGAACGCGGTTGATTCCTAGAAAGTGATGATAAACCGCCACTATTATGATGAAAACTATTATTATGACTAGTTTGATGATGACCGTTAAATGCTGGATTAGTTGTTGTTCTTGTAGTTGTTTGTTCAACAAAATGTTGTTTTACTGTTGGCTAAATATAAAACAAAAATAAAAAATTATTTTACTTTTCAAATTCATACTTGAAATAATTCATAAAATGTAACATTTTATTTTATTGTTCTATTTAGAAACAAAAATTGGTCATAATCTTGACATGATTTTTATGGAGCAAAAAATAATGCCAGCAATATAATAAAATAACAGACGTAAAGAAAAATTTAATATTCGCGTATTTTAATAAATATACAAATGTATTAATGTTTCTGTTTTTAATTTTTACAGAATCTAACAACAGTTGGTCCTTGGCTAATAGCCAAAAATAATTTTACTGTACTAATCTTAAGCCAAAAAATATTCATTTATATTTTGTCGAATTTTTTGAATGTGATACGTATATTAAGATAAGTGACCCCTATGTTCTTTTTATATTATCTTAAGATATAAATGAAAAAAATGCTTTCGAATAGTTACACACAGGTGTAAAGTGAATAATTGTTTTTTTTTTATTATTAGTGAAAATTCATTATATATAATTATAAGTTTTCAAAGTCTATACTTAGGAGGGGTTCAGTGTTGCAAATTCGTGTCGCATTTACGGTTTAAATTTAGATGAACTCTGAGGTATACGCGATGACACCAAGTAGAGTTGTCTTATAATTCTTACAAAATTGCAACTGTTTCTTATTTTTCAACATCAATTTAAGAATAATTGTTTTTAAAATTCAAAATATCTAATTAAATTTAAATTGATAAATAAGATAATGAGCATATAAAATTATTGATAATAAGCAAAGCACATAAAATTTATATTTATAAAAAAATTTATATGTAAGTATACATATATAATAGAAAATTATTTATATATACATATTTATATGTACAACTGTGTTCACAAAATTTTTGTACAATTTATTAATGTACACTTGAAAATATTTTTTAAAAATCATCTGTATCAAATCAAGCAATAATTCTTAACTTCAATGAAGCAAGAAAAATCAATAAATTTCTAAATAATAAATTGAATTAAAAGAATCAAAAAAAAAAAATTATTTTTCTATATTCTAATGCTATTGGCATCATAAATTTAAATAAAAATATTGAAAACGAATTGAAAATTAATTAGAGCATTAACACTAATATTTTTTTTTACGAATATCTGAATTTTCACTAAAATTATTCAATTTTCAAAATTTTATAAAAATTTTTCTTTAATATATAAAAAAAAACTGATGTACTTATCAGATTCTTACCGATTGTGGTGTATTTTTCCCTTTTAAACTTCCATAACCTCCACCACCACCTCCTGCTGGACCACCGCCACTTTGATAAGTTGTATGAATTGTTGATGATGAATTTAAATGACCAGGGACACTGTTTTGTAAATCAGCAAGAAGGGCATCTAAAATTAAAATTGTAATAAAGAAACATTATTAATTTTATAATTTTTATAATTCATAATAACAAATTAATTTAATAAGACCTAAATTATCATAATCCGCTCCATTATCATAAATTTCTTTTGATTGTCTTGTATTATTCATTATTATAGTAAGTATTTCTTTTATTATAATCAAATCTGCTTTCTTAATAGTAATTCAATTGTTAAAATCAATAATATAGCATTAAAAATATTTAAAATATCCAAAGTATATGTTGCAAATATGATCAATTAAAATAAAATAATTTATATTTGAACCCAATAAAATTTTTAAGGTATACTTAAGTTATAAATGATGACGCCACTTGATGAAAACGAAAAAAAAAAATACGTATGTATTCGATTTAAGATTGGCCTCGAAATTTTTTGATTATAATTTTTACCTACTTATGTAAAAAATTTTTAAACTATTTGATATCTTTCACAAAAAAAAAATAAAAAAAACAAATTCTTATCTTTAAATTTTATGAAAAAATTTTAAAGATAAGAAAACTTGAATAGCGCGGTTTTTGTTTTGTTTTTTTATAAAGTTAGTTTGGTATACGGAAAATTATTATTGAATTGAAAATAATAACAATGAACAAGTATTTATTTATAGTATCGAATCTTATATTGTTATATAACATAACAATTTTATTTACTAGGTGCAATCGGAATTATTTTATTGCTTGTTATTGCTACTATTGCTAGATACAAATTTAAAAAAAAAATGTTCAATAATATCGGAAATAAATAGCATATTTACCGTTAATATTTTGAAAAAATAAAAGCTTAAAATATGATTAAAAGCTTTTTGATAGCCATCTATTGGAATATTTTTGTATTAAAAATATTTTGGATCATAATTTTGGTATTGAAATTTTGGTATACATACACATGTACATATTTGTAAAATATGCTTTTTAAAATTCGTGAATAAGAAAAAAAAGTAAAACGGTAGTTGCTTTCGATATTTTGTAAGGAAAATACAAGAGTAGAGAAATTTTATATATTTTTTTGGAAACAATGTTGGCTATTAAATTGAAATTTGGATTATTTCTCAAGAATTTATTGAAATACGATCGAGAAAATAAAAGACAATTGTGAAACAGATTTAGATAAAACGAGTATTTTCTAATAGATTAATGAGTCCGAACAGTTAGAAAGGGTGAAACGCTCTTAGTTGACATTAAATAAAACCGCTTCCTATATTTAAATTTAATTAAAAAACATATTCCTACAATTTTGTTCAAAAAATAATCAATAATTTCTTAAAATTAAAAATATGCATTTTCTACATTTTTTTGATTAATTGAATGAAAAATGAATGTGTACTTATTTTTAAAATCATATACTTAATTCCGCTTCAGAATGCAGAATTCGTCGCATTTCCAATATGTGTTCTTATTTTCGAAAAGGAAAAGTCTTTGATATAGAATAAAATTTCACTTTAATTCTAAATCATTTGCGATAACATCTTGTTCTTAAATAACATTTTATGAAAAGTGTTTAACTGCAAATTTTATATGATAAAATTCTGTCATGCAAAATGTACTACGCATTTTAATTGAGAAGTAAAACAGTAATTATTATCAGGAGTTATTAAAAACAGGAGATATTATCCTATAATTTGATCGAGGTATGAGGAATATGTGTAACTGTTGAATTTTTCAATTTTCTACTTTTATAAGAATGTTTATGGATTAAATTATTTATGTTTATGTTTTTTTCTGTGGGATATTAGGATAAAGAGTCGTACACAAACTCCAGTACAGAAAGTTTTTCTTAAAAGTCTTAAGAATAAATCCCTTATTAACCATCCAATAATTTAAAAGTGAATAATTATTGCCAAAAATTAATTTGTTTTTTGTTTGTTTGCTTTTCTTAAAGTAAATAAGTTGTTTAAATTACATTTGATTTTACATATACAATATAAAAAAAAAAACCCTAAGAAGTTAAAAATTTATTATTTTATGTAGTTAATATAAAATATATAATTTAAACTTGCTCAGTTTGGACTCATTTAATAATTAAATAAAATGTTTACAAAAAAGCAGGAATATATTCTATTTTTTAATAATAACTTTTAGATTGAGTAACTTTGTTGAAACATTCACTCATATTCTGTAAGTCACACCACTTGACGTAATGGGTTTGTTATTTAAAAATATTTTAATTTTCTGAATAAAATCAATTCTAAAATTCGAAATTCTATACTGAAGAAAAAAATTCTTCTAATAACATCCCATCACCTTCAAGTGATACGACTAACATTATACGGGTATTTAGTGATACTAAAATTTTAGTCAATTAAATTATAAAACTTTATTGAAAAAATATTACAAGTTTTTCTTTCTATTCATGGATTAATATTAAAGATTTTCATAAAACAGCAAAGGAATAAGGACTAAACGCAATGCTGCAAAAACATAACATGATGAACATTCAATTATTCAATTTGTTCTATAAAATCAAAACAGTTCGTATGACTTTACAACTCTGCTCATAAATTAATTGCACTAAACTGCAAAAATTTAGCAATGTTTATGAATAAAATAAATTAGGGGGGTTTTCGTTTATGCATGCTGCGCTGAAAGTTCTACATTGGAACTAAAATTTCTAAGTCGCAGCGTTAAACAGTATGAAAAAAATTTAGCTAATACTTTGATAACTCTATAAACTTACTTTGATAAAACTTTGAAAATTTAAAATTTTTGTTGAATTCTAAATATAAAAAAAAAATTATGAGACAGCGACAAAATTTATACTAAATGTCTGCGCTACATTTCTAACATTCCTTTATTGCAGATTGAATTTCCAAACGCACTTTATTGTAGCCAGTAATTTCTGAACGATCTATATTTTCAGTATATGTAGCGTTAATTTTCGAACGTACTACAAGCTGGAACTATTCTAGAACTGAATAAACGAAAACCCCCTAGAAACACTTTTTTATGAACATAAATATAGCGCAGTTTTTTCATTATAAATATTTAATGGGATATGATGCGTTTATAAAAAGGTATATTATTTCTATACAAAATGAACTCATACTTCTGGACTCTGGTACCCACTACAGAATTAACCTTAGCCATAAACAGAGTTTGCAATAGTAAGTGGAGCTTCTATATGTTCATATCCATGAAGGATTGTACAATAAATTCTTAATAAACCAAACATAAATTTTTAAAAAATGAGATAATATTCCGTATTGCAAAGCAATTCATGTTAATTTAGTTGTTTAATTTATAAGTGAAGTAAAATTTAATAGTGAATTTTCTGTATTTAAACACTTACTTATATATCTCTCATAATCACCGACTTTGAAATCAGATGTAAATATTGAGGTTTGAGCTGCCATAATTTTTTTACACAAAAAATTTTTTGTTTTTTTTTTTTGCTATTTAAATTGTTTATTTCTATATAATAAATTTGCTTATTTCTTAAATAAGCAATTTATTTTGTTTTTCTTTTATAATTGAAATTTTTCTTAATAAAAAAAAATTATTTATTTATAATTTGAGTTCAACAATTTCTTTACAACTTTTAATTATCACTCTTAATTAATAATTCAGATGCGCTCTAAAGTGAATAAAATAATTATAAATTATAATTAATTGCACAAAAGAATTTTATTTTAATATAACTATATAATACACAACCTAACATTTATTAGTTACATATACACTTAATTGAGAACAAAAAGTCAAAGTAAATTGTGAAATGATAAAAAAATAAAAACTAATGAAAAAAAATATCACTTTGTTTTATGCTTAGAATTCAAAGGTCATGCAAAAAATAATTCACAAACTACCATATGAGATATTTTAAATTTTTTTTAATAGGGGAGAAATCATTTTTAAAAAATTTGCTAAATTTAGTCTTTAAGAACAGTTTCTGTTTTTTTTTTATTTCTTATCTATAATAGAAGAAACTTGTTAATTTTATGAATCTACATAAAAAGACTATGAGAAAAATCATTTAATCTTTTACTTAAATTTAAAATACAGATTTGTCTTTTGATATAGCGAGGCGCACATGTAAAAAAACAAAAATTATGGTACGCAATTCAAATACAAGCTGCTAAATTCTCATCCCACATAATTTTATATCTTTTGTACAAGCAAATCTCTGCAAACCTTAATATATACGTGGTAGATGTTACAATTTTTTTTGTTTTGTTTTTTAGAATGTATATGACCTTTTTCAGATATTCTTTTAATAAATTGCCATATATACATATGTATGTACATAGAGATTTAAATATCACGTGGGGGCTTTTAATTGTTTCATATTAAATAAAATTCCAAAATACTTAAATAGTTAAAAAAATTAAATAAATAGCGATTTCTTGAAAATGTCAATAATCTACTTAGATTTTAGTTACTATTCATTAGTTACGGAAAATTAAAATGAAGATAATATAACCGTAAGTAAAATATTAAAACAAAAAAAAAATCAAGTATTTCTAAAATTATTTAAAAATCAAGTTGGTATGAAAATAAAGTTTTTTTGAACGAAACATTTTTCTATGTGTTATAACAAATTATTCACTATTATAATACTAGTATAAAACATTTGCATAGATTTTCATTCTATATAGTGGCAATCATACGTTAAATTCAATACAAATCAGGAATTTTTTCGTATTGCATATCACATTTTCTAAAATGCGTATAAATTTTAATTATCATAAATTCATTTTGTTTTTGATGGTGATAGATTTAGTTGATAATTTTGAAAAAGACTGCAAAATCCAATTGAAAAAATGAGTAATCTTATTGGAAAAAAAATTCGAACTTAATCTTATAGCAAAAATTAGAATTCTGATTTGAAAGTGAATAAAAAGCGAGACGAAAAGCAAAATACATAATTAGATTTCAATTTGAATGATGTTATTCTTTATTATATGCGGAAGGATTAGAAATTAATCAGCAAATGTTAGAGAAATTGTTGTTTGGAAAAACGCCGTAGGATTGTGA